TATGAGCGAAAAATCGAATTAAAAAGGCTTCAATACGTCAAAAATTTTATGAGCAACTTTTGTAGGGAAAAAAGTTTTGGGAGATTTTGATGGCACGCTGTACATTGTTTGGCTTTAAAAATTACAGTCGAAGTAATTCGAAAAGAAACCGTACAGGTTAGCAATGCGTGGATTTGGCGAGGATGAGCACAGGAATGCGTTGACGTAAAAGCGAAACAGTGCTGAATCGGCAACATACTTGAAGGAATCTAGACCATTCAATGTCCACTCAAGCACAATCGACTCCGTTTCGCGACTGTGCAGCACAGCAAACCACTAAAAAATAAGTTTTAAAGTTGCTCAAAAAAAAAAAAATCAAAAACTGAATTGATGAAGAGATGTGGAAATATTTGACGAGACGCATAGACGCTCGGAAATCTGTCGACCAGTAGGGAGCGCTGAAAGCAACCACCTATTGGCAAAGCTGTTTAAGGCTGCCTCTGCGAGGGCTACTTTACAGCTAAGCTAGTGGCTACATGGAATATGACAACTTACAACAAAAACATCTGAACGAACTACCCAGACAGTCAATTTTCACAGTGGGGAAGCCGAGCTCTTCATAGCTATTTGCTACTATACCACCTCCGCAAGAATAAACAAATGTAAGAAAAATAATTGGCCAGCGCACAGACTACCAGCGCAAAGATGCGTTTTTTGCACAGTTCTCCGTAGGTATTTGTTGCTGACGGCACTGGTTTTTACCGCAGATGCTTTTAGCTATAAGAACTGAAACTGGCCACCAAGATCGTCAAAAAACATCCCCTTAAAATTCCAGCTTTCTAGCTTCTCTGATTCCCGAACTAGCAAATTATTCCCAAAAAACTTTCACGGGCTCGTACGTGGGGACCACGCATACCTGGGGACTGGGTTTGAACTCATGAAGACCTACGTGGATGGGGGACGTCCTCTAAAAGTTTCATCTTCCTATCTTTTCTGGTTTCTCAGTTAGCAGCTAACCCGCTAAAAAACTTGGCGGGCCCGTATGTGGGAGTCGCGTGGGTAGCAGCACTTATTCTGGGTATGGGACTCGCATGTGCATGAAGACAAAAGTACCAAAGTTTCAGCCCTGTAGCTTTTGTAATTCTCGAGATGAAAAATTGGTACTGACGAACAAACAGACACACACAAACAATCTCTCGTCAATATGCGTTTTCTGCATTGCATAAATGCAAAAAACGCATAAAAAGTCAAAAAATCACCCTAGGAAAACTCTACATAAAATCCGCGTAATAATATAATGGATCGAATAACTCACATGATGAATAATTGTAAAAATGGCAGCAGATCGAGGATGCGGACGGTCCGTATAACGATGAATGAGCTCTTTCAGAATGCTATTAATTAGTTCGCTTTGGTTCAACGAATCAATCAACAGATACGGCAGAACTTTCATCAATCTCACTGCATCTTGTTCAGCTCCCTCCGCTAATCTTAAACAAAAAGAATCAAACAAAGTCAACGGAAGATCTGCGTGAAAACATTGACTGATGAAACAAAAATACCAAAAACAATCAGTCTTCCGCATGAACGCAAGTATATCAACATTCTTTCGTTACACAACCAGATATTTCAAATCAGTGCTCGAATCAGTGCTTTTAAGTTGCTCCTAAGCGGCCCTCGAAAGAGAAAGTTATCGCCAGTCGTGCTAACGGACAATTGGTGTTGGCAAAAAGGTACCA